CAGATACCGGTCTTGCTGCTGGGTTGATGCTCTTCTACGGCCCAGTCTCCTGCTATTCCTTCCGTGCTCTGGAGACTGTGCTGGGAGACACAGCAAACCTTCTTGCGACGGCACGTATGGATGTGCCATCCTGGAGAAGCTGGACTACCAGCACCACCTGCAGAACCATTCCCTTTTTTGGTGGTCGTCTTGCTGTTACCTCTCCAGTGCACCTGTTGTCACTTTAATTTGCGCCAAAACAGGTGATTAACTGATTCACTTGTGCTTCCTAAATGGGCAGATTGAAATCCCTGAAGTTTAGTTGACTTTATGTTATACAGATGATTAAGTGTTCCCTTTATTTCCTTTTGAGCAGTGAAGTAAAAATGATCTATTACACATTTAAGTTGCTAAACATTCACTTGGGCTTTTGGAAAGTGTGATTGGCATGTGAGTGTTTTTGACGTAGCATGGACCAAAACATCAAACAAAGTAACTGACAGATTAATTGATAATGAAGATGATGGCTAGTTGCAGCCCTGTTGTTGAGTGGAATGAAATCCCTGATCACACTGTAGTCGCGTTAACTTGTTTGATCAGAGAGTTGCTGATTTAAATACATATTTAGCAGATTTTTAACTGTTTTATTTCTGCAAAGTTTTTGTAAGGCAGCTGGTTTTGTTTATATCCCCAAAAGTACAGAACTAAAAAAAATATTGCTTTGGTATTGAAACTCGGCTATTGCATTGCCATCCATCCATCATCAACCGCTTATCCTGTGTACAGGGTCACAGGGGGCCGGAGCCAATCCCAGTTGACATCGGGAGAAAGGCGATGTACACCCTGGACAGGTCGCCAGTCCATCGCAGGGCCACACATAGACAGACAACCACTCACACTCACACCTAAGGACAATTTAGAGACACCAATCAACATAGCCTGCATGTCTTTGGACGGTGGGAGGAAGCCGGAGCACCCGAAGAAAACCCTCGCAGACACGGGGAGAACATATCGCATTGCCATTAGTATCAAAAAACAGTGAAGTTGTGCTCAGAGAAAACTAAAAGCGTACAACAGTGGGGTCTGTGGTTGTTATCTTCTTCGTTAGTGGCGTTTCGACCAGACCAGCAGCCCAGACCACATTCTCAAGCTCTGCTCCTGTGTCTCTTGTCTCTGGCTTATCGCTCTAAAAACCTGACAGAGCTGCCTGAAAATACTGATCTCCTCCCTACAAACAGTTACTGCAGATATCACACTGCTGTAGAGTTATTTAACCCTAAATATGGGCTACCCATGGCATTATTCAGGCTACTCATTATCGCACCAGCGGACATGTTTTCACGTAAATCTGGATTGGCAAGAACTTTGAACAATAAATGATAACATTGTTTTTGTTCATGCAGTCCTGTTGATGGGTCCATTTGTAGTTTTGTTATGATGTCACTGTTTTGTCACTGAGTCTTGTATGGAGCTGAAAAGATTAGTCAATGAATAGATCGTTTAATTTTTCACCCCAGAATGCCAATGGATCTGTACTTCCAGCTTTGTATTTTTTATTTTTTTGCTTCTTTTCTGTCTGTCATAGTTGATTTGAATATTAAAACAAAGTATTTGAAGGTGTCACTTTCAGAAATTGTGATCAGCGTTTTTCACTATTTTACACACTATTAATCAGTTAATCAAAAAAGATAATGACCAGAGTAATAATTGATGATGAAAATAACTACCTTGTATACTATTATTTTTTCCCAATGTTTCTTCATTAGGAAGCAGCACCAGCAGTTTTTACCTTTTTGGCTAAATGTGGCTGGTTTGACCGTCAAGCAGCCAAGTGTCTGTGATGTGGCTGCAGAACAGTTGGGAAGCAGTTTTTTTTGAACATGTGAAGTTTTTTTTTCCGGTTTCAGCTTCTTAAATGTCTCAGATTTGCTGCTTTGCTTTATTTTATGCGATTGTGATTTGGACATCTTTGGGTTTTTGGACTGCTGGTCTGAAAGATTCTGACGGACATTTCACGTTTAAACAGTTTATAGATAAAGATATGAATCCATTAATCCAGCCAGGAGAAGATTTGGATTTGTAGAAAAGTCATAAAATCACTTCTGGGTAACGGCAGCTTTTACCTCCCTTTCAAAATGATGTTAATATTTCACTTTTCTGTACCTCAGAACAGGAAAAACTACCCTGAACCCCCTCAGGTGTGGAGCTCAGCTTCAGTCTGTCTGCCCTTTACAGAAAACAGACATTTTAAATTTATGCATATTTTCCTGTGATTTCAGCTGTTGTGGAAACACGCTAATTTATCTTTAATGTGAGTCCCAGTCGTCCCTGTTCCCCGTCTTGTTTTATCCATCACATCTCCAAAAACCTCATTCGGCGGTGGTGGAAAAACTCCCCCTGAACTCCCACAGGTGGCGAGCTGCTCAGAAAACTACCTCTGAGTGGAGAAAAGTGCGTCCACATGTGAGCGATGGGATGAAAGTGTTTGTCTGAGACGTCCTCCCCAGGCGGCTCCGACTGTTGACCTCTGAAAGTGGAGTCGAGTAATGGAGGGGAGACGGTGGGGAACCTGGGGGAGGAGAAGTCATTCTCTGGTCATCCGTCCCAAAAATCAGCCACCCGACCATCTCAAACCTCGATCCTGCTCGCCGGGACTTGTGACCTCTCAGAGTTTCTGTCCCTCTGTGGCTCACAGCTTGTCTACACTTCGACATCGTTTGGCCTGTTTGAACTGGACTTCTGCTGCCTCTGTCTTCAGCTGCATGATATAGATATTATGGTTCTTGTGTGTGTATGTTCAGAAGAAAGTGCTCCTGCAGAGCACGCTGTGGCGATGATTTTAATGTTCGTGACTTTATCCCAGTGTAAATCTATGGCTCTATGAGCGGGAACACAGGGCCAACAGGACATGAAACGCTTTCTTGCAGCCAGAACGGAGGCCCAGTGCCTAATTGGCAGTCCAGTGTATTTCCCAAGCCGGTTTATACTCGACACAAAGGGTTAATGGCAGTCTGACTGTGGATTTAAAGTTCAGCGTCAGTTCGTTGAAGTTAGGTTTCAGAGAAACGGAAAGCTGCTGATTGTGACACTCAGCATTTCCTCCATTTCGTTTGAACGTTTTTTTATGTAGTTGAGTAGAAAACATAAGGACACTTGGTTTCTCGCGCCCACGTGTCGTCGGTCACCTTCCCCACCTGGGTGCCTTTTTAGATTTTAACAGAAGCAGTTCTCAACTTGTCTGGTAGAGTTTCCACAGCTACTCCATTTGTTCCGCCGTCCATCATTTCCACTACCTGGGGATCGCTACTGATAGCTATAGGGGAAAACAAAAGCGCTCTCTCTTCTCGTCTCTTTTGGTTGCTCAGTGGTTGACACGCTTCCTTTGTGCCGCAAATTGAGCCTATATTTTCCCCTGGAGGTTGTACCCGGTGGTGCACAGAACTGCATGGTAAAAGCATACGGGGAACCAATCTAAACGCACATGGTGTCTCTATAGCCTTCACGCTATGCAATTGACTTTTACTTTATAAGAAGTTGCAGCAAGAAATGTCACCTTAACACACGAAAAGCCAGGGGTTGGTTTCCTCTCTCTGTCTCTTCAGGTCCACCACATTCTGCTCTGATCAAGTCTGAGCATCCTCTGGTTTTATATATGGTTACTTTGGGCCAAAATGACACGCTTATTTTGTTTTCAACAAGAGCACCCCCCCGCCCTCGTCCTCTAATTGTTTCAGGACTCGGCCTCAGATTGTCCTTGGCAGCGGGCATTAGAGAAAATGTTTAGCCTGTTTGTTTTTCTAGTAATTAGCCTTAAAACGGCCTGTAATACAGACTGCTAATGGTCCACAGAGAGCAGAGCCTGTGTCAACACACCCTCTGTGTGTGTGTGTGTGTGTGTGTGTGTGTGTGTGTGTGTGTGTGTGTGAACGATATGTTCATGAGAGATTGTGCGTGTTTTCATGTGTGTTTTTTCTGTTAGGAGGTGAGGGGATGAGGCGTGTGAAAATGGAAGCTTTCCGTGCGTATGTGTGTGTGAGTGGTCGGGCAGTAATGTGAAAATGTTAGTTTTCCCATCCAGAATCAGCCGGCGGGTCGTTCTGCTCTGTATCACCAGAACACACAGACAGATTCCAGCTTCTCAAATCACCTTCCCACTGCCTCCAGTCTGCTGGTTGGCATGTTTTCCATTTTTCCCCCCGTTAGCAAAGCGGCTGACAGATGGTGATGTCAGTGAATCGCTGTTCATCCAACACTTGTCGGCCCATGAGAAGATATTTAAATAACTGCTTAATTAATTCAAATTGAAGTATAGAGCGGATATTCAGGGTTTGAGCCAGAGCGGCAGGTTTTCCCAGCAGCTTCTTGGGTGTAAACCTGCAACCTTTAAACTGTGGTCCTCCTGATTTATAATCAAAGGTACAAATTAGTGTTTTTGTTTTCCCTGCTCAGACTGTTTCCTTGATTTATTAACGTCCAGCTGTGAGCCAGTAGACAGAGCCCAGATTGGTATTATGGGTAATTTTGGGAAGTAGGGAGGAGCTGGAGGCCAGAGCAGCTGAGAGAAATACGGCTTTCAGACGTTTTTATGAAGATTTCTTTCTGCTCTCGTCGTGTCGGTCTTTGTGTGAATTCTTGAAATCCTGCAGCATTTTTCTCAGGGAGCTTTTATGAAAATGTGAAACCAGACAAATTTATCACCAAACTGCACACTTTGTAATGTCCAGGAACAGTTCCTTGGCATCTAAATGCGCACATTTCAGCACCGAGGTCAGACGAGTATTTTCACATGTTCTCATTTCAGATTTGATCAGCAGATCAGTGCAGGACGTCGAGACCCAAATCAGGTTCAAGCTGCTAAACTCGAACATTGTGATGGTCTCGTAGTGACTGTGAGGCGACGCGTTAAAGTCTCACAACTTCTCACACACAAGAAAGAGAATCTCTTCTGATCACTACAAACAGATTGTGACTCAGTTAGATGGTAAAAAACCAAAACTGTGTGTGTGTGTGTGTGTGTGCAGCGGGAGCAGGAAAACGCCATGACGCGTCTGAAGAAACAGCAGGCGGAGCTGGAGGCCATGAGGCTGCGTTACCTAGCTACAGAGCAGAAGGAGGCGGTCCATCAGGACAGACAGGAGCTGGACAACATCAGGAACGAACTCAACAGGTGAGGGATAATGATGTCAGATCGTCGTGGCCACGAATCAGCTGTATCGTTAGGAGCCTTTGTCTTATCCAAACTTGTATTGGCCCGGCTCTTTATCATTAGACTTTACCGGTTCGTGTTCATTATTAAAGAATAGTTGTTGGGGTTTTTTTCATATTTTAAATATAACTAAATGTAAACTGTAAACTTCACACCTGCAAAAGTCACTGTATAAACTAGGGCTGCTCGATTAAGGCTAAAATCAGAATCATGATTATTTTGGTCAGAACTGAAACCACGATTATTAACACGATTACTGATTTAAACAGTGATGTATTATCCCATCAAAAAAGAAACAGTAATCGAATATTAACACTACTCCGATCATTATTTCGGTGCCATTAATAACGTCATTGCCGTCGGGCAATCAGTTGGTTTTTCTATTAGTGCAATGCATGATGGTATGTAGGGCTTGGTTAGTGACCATCGGTTGTACACTACTTTTAAAAATGCATTCTGGTATACATTGAGTGGACTATATAGGGTATAATTATTATCACTATACATTCAGACAGCCCTATAAAATTTGAAAAAGTAACTTAAACTAACAGTGAGAAAAGTGTAAAACAAGCACAGACCTGGTAAAGCACGGCTTAAGGAAATCGGGTTCAGTATAAGCATAAATAATGTGTAAATTTTTAGGCTATTGGTGGAGGAAAAGTCTGCCAGCTGCTAGGCTAATTTCTGCAGTTTAAAATGCCTAAGATAATATCAAGCTGAAGTAAACATGCAGCAGCCTGGAGAGTGTGGGGCCTTTTAGTGGGGGGGGGGGACTGCTGTGAAGGAAAGGGTGCCCTGGATTGTCATTGCGGAACAGCATGTGGCACAATAATTGTTTTATTTCTATTAACTTGTATTTATAATCGTTGGAAGCCAAAATCGAAATCGTGATTAAAATTCCATTAATTGCACAGCCCTAATATAAACTCAAATAATATCTCACTGTCAATAAAATAAATCATACTGCTGACATTAAAATACTGAGTGACGTTTAGAAAGAATGAAGAACGCAGCATCAGGGGCTGGTTTATTTCAGCTAGCTGCTGAGTGACAAACTTTTACCCTGCAAGTGGCAAAGATCTAACAACAACGATTTTCAGTCCAGCGCAATAGATTATTGATATATCAGTAATTTAGTGTCCTCTTGTTTAAATTTGTTATAACTAATGTAAAACTCTAATAGTTGTAAACATGTGAGTATTATCTAGTTGTATATTTCAGATAATTAGAAAAGCTTTTTGTAAACCTTGTTTTACAGGTTAAAGCAGCAGGAGAGATTAGACCCCGCCCCACCCGTGTCTGGCCCCGCCCCTCCTCAGTGTGTGAATGACAGCGCTGACGAACACCTGAGCCGCCTGCTAGAGGAGAGAGACACTCTGCTCAGGACCGGAGTTTACACCCACGAAGACCGAATCATCGCCGAGCTCAGCAGGCAGATACAGGAAGCCATGAGGGACAGAGGGAATCTCTGACAGCGGCTGGAACCGTCCAATCAGAGACAGTCACTCCTGAGACTGCAGGTAAAGCAGCTCAGAGGCTGTTTACACGTTTGTTTCGGGCTATTTTCATCCACAGGCTGCATTTACACTGTAGCTCAAAACGTCTGTGCCAAATTTGTATTTATCCAGTCCTGCATGTGCTGCATGTTGGCAACGATTTTAAAATCTGAGCTGTATCCAGCCTGGGAAATGTAACAAATTAGCTTTTTTTTTTTTGCGTTTAGACGAAAAGTCAGGTCAGCAGAAATTTGATTTGAGTCAGATTTTACATATGAATGTGGCTCAAAACAGAGCAATAAACATCGTTTTTACTTTTAACTGACCAGAGATAAATGTGTCACTTTTACCAGAAATTGTAAGCGTCGTCTTAAATCCAGCCTCCAGAGACACATTTGCCTGCGAGTTGCAAAAGTAAAACGCATATAGTCGTGCAGACATTTTGATTTCAGGAAAATAAACTTGGAAGTGATGGGACTTACGATACACAACCATGTGTACCATTTTTCTTTTTTTTTGGTGAATGCATCGTGCATATATAAAAAGACACTTTGTTCACCAAGACAAAGTCACAGAAAGAAGAAATCTGGCGTCACACAGGTTCAGAACTCGCAGCTGAGATGTTATTGCCTGATTACAAAATGTGAAACGTTTCTGTGAATGCTTAAAGGAACAGGTCAGCATTATAGGAGCTAAGCTTGTTCACTTTCTTTGTTCAGACAGATATGATTCTCCTGTCTGTGCTTTTCACTGCAGAGCTTGATGCTAAGCTAGGCTAACAACGTCATGAGATGAACTCTCTACCACCAATAAATGTGTTGTTAAATAATAAAAAGAATATAAAGCTTTACACTCGTTTAATCTTTAATCAGTTAGTAAACAAAGGCATTTTTTTCTCTTTAAGACCAATAAGTTAAAACTTAATATATTTATTTTTATATTTATATATTCACTTACTCATTTTTATTTCTAAACTCTCTTGGCACACATTTGATCATGTATCTGTTTCCCCCATGCTGATATATTTCTTTTTATACTTCCTTTATATTATTTAACTAACAATGTCATTTATTGTTGTTTTCTGCTGTATTTATGTTATGAGAGTTTTATATCAGCTGGGTGAAAGTGACACTGTTGGGACAACAAACTCCTGTTATTCACATTCAGCCAAACTGAGAGAAGAACTAGTGATAAATTGTATAGATGGTGTAAAAATGTAACTTTTCCAGATGCTGTTTGTTTCTTTGTTTGTGTGCTGAAGCAAATCAGATTCTTCTTCTGTTTTATAGCATCATTTTATGTTTGTGTGCTGCAGTCTGAGTCAGATAAATAACATTCACCCCGTTATGGAGAGGAGGGACGATTACAGGAACCAGAATCTCTGTCAGTGTGTGTAGACGTGACCGAGTAAATGTGAACCTTTCCTTTAAAGGGCCGTGCCACCAGTGTTGCACGAACATTGAAACTACAAACCGCAGGAAACTGTCATAACTACAAACCGCTTTCTAACAACAGCGTAACCTGGGAGCGCAGTCCTTGCTGATGCGTTCAAAGATGCTCCGACATCTTGGCATCTGCACCATTATTTTTTAGCGTACATTGGAGCTGGAAGGATTAGCTGACTCTTCAATTTGCTGAACGTTAAGTAACGATTAATAAACTATTTTGAAAGTTGACTTATTCCCAGAATTCCCTGGTTCCAGCTACTCAGATGTGATTATTTTGCTGGTTTTCTTTAACTTCTGTGACAGTAAACTGAATATCTTTTTGAGTTGTTTGTGAGACAAGCAGTTTGAAGACTCGATAGATATCTGATTATATGGTTGTTTGAGCAGCAGATGATTCAGATCTGAAGCATTATTCAACCTGAAGTGACAGAACAGGATTTTATTAAATCTGAGAGTCTGAAGACGTGTTGATGAGTTCATGCACAGTCCAATGGATTAATGTTTGCTCTGATGAGGGCTTTTTATCTGACAGCAGGTGGCGCTGCAGCCTCAGAAAAGCCTCTCAACACTCCTGTGACCTGCAGGTGCTGTGAGATATTAATTTATTCTTTATTATCAGAGAGCACTCTGATTTCTGTGTTTGTTGGCAATAAATTATTTTGGGATAAAATGTGGTAAATGTGTGTTATTTTCCAATTAAGATGACTGCCCTATTAAGGCGATGATAGACGTTTACACTGAAAAATAAATAAAGATCAGTTCAGTTTCTTTCTTAATCCCTAGTTTCTGCCTTTTCTTTCCTTCACACAATTTGGAATATGTGTGTACATTTTTTAAAAGCTTTCTAAGTAAAACAAACCAAAAAAGTATTAAACATTTGTTCATTGTTTCTAAATTTAGAACTAGAACTTTGCCGAAGGTTTTTCGACAGACGTGTTCTCCTTCATTTGAAAAGCTGCACTACCACAATGTCACAATACTCCATTACAAGTACACGAATATTACGAGCAACATGTACTCTAGGTGTCATGTGTAGAAGTACTCATTATGCAGAAGGCCACTTATAAGATCAGAATTACTGATACAGTTGATTAATGATGTTAGCAGCTAATATAATCAACTTTATGTACTTTTCGGTAGTTTAATTGTTAACAATGTTGTATTTTACAAGCTGATCAGATGTTTTGGGTGTAAAATCTGTAGCCGGACATTTTAGCTGCGTGTAAAGTAGCATAAAATGGAAATGATCAAGTACAATTATACTTAAAGCACACAGAAAACTGCACAAGCGTAAATAAAAAGCTGCTTTTAAATGTATGTAGTAAAAATAAAATGGAACTTAAAAAAAACAAAAATAAATGAATACATTTAAGCCAGTACTTAAATAAAGGCCAGACAAAATGAAAAATTCAATGAAAGTGTAAAGTGAGAGCAGAACCAGCTGGAGGTCAGACGACACGCGTTATCACATGTATGAACATGTTAACAAACACACACACACACACACACACACTGCTGCATCTGTGTGTTGACATATGGGTGCTGATGGTGAGCAGATGTTTCCAACTCATCCATCTACTGCGAGGTGGAGGAGGAGGAGGTGAATAGGAGAGGAAGAACAAAAAAGAGAGGAGAAGCAAAAGTAGAAATCCCCCTCTAATCTCTTATCAACGTTGTGTGTTTTTATCTGGAATTCCAGCTTGTAAAATTTGTTTTTGACTGATAACTGCCTGAACCCTGCACAGCTCGGCCTGCTGAACACACACACACACACACACACACACACACACACACACACACATTCAAGAGTTCTGAAATAAAAAACAAATATATTTTCAGGAAAACGTCTCACCTCAAGGTCCATTTTTGCAGCAGTTCTGGAGCTTTTGATGACATCACATGAGCGTCCTCAGCAGAGTTTCATCATCTGTCGTGAAAACTAGATGTTCATGCTTTTCGTGCTTGTTGGCAATTTAAATCAGCACAAACTGAAAGCAAAGTGTGTTCGCAGATAAACAACCACACACACACACACCTGTAGCATGTGTATTATACATGCATGTGTGTTTCTGCTGTAGATCTGTTAGGTTAAGTCTTCAGCTCTGACTGATCTGGGGTCTGTGGCTGCATTCACACGGATGATCAAACCACAGATACATGTCATCAGCGTTTATAGCTCAACCCAAAACATCTTTTATTATCATTAAGTTTCATCAAAAAACATATCTCAGTTATCATAATTAGAAATGAACACGACATATTAAATCATAATAATGTAAATGTCATTACTATTTCTAACTGGAAAGTGCACACTTCGTACCAACTCTCAGCTACAATAAACTTCAAGTTCAAGTACAGTAACATTTGAAAAACATTCTGAATGGATTCATATTCAAGGACTCCACTGCTGTAAAAAAAAAAAAATCAACAATACAACAGTAAACGGTTTTGGAAGACTCAGACAGTTGTAGTACACAAGTCCTGTTTACGGTTAAGAGAAGTTCAACTTAAAGCAAATGTCCTCTGACGAGCAGGATTTATAAAACCAATCGTGCTCATTTTGATTCCCAGAAGGACAGAGTTGTTTTCTCTGGGGTTTGAACGTTATAAGTTGAAACATGTTGCAGGACAGAGAGTTTACAGAAGACATGCATGTTGATGTTAAAACTCTAAAAACGTACAACCCCAATTCCAATGAAGTTGGGACGTTGTGTAAAACGTAAATAAAACAAAAATACATTCATTTGCAAATCCTTTTCAACCTATATTCAACTTAATACGCTACAAAGACAAGATATTAATGCAAATATTCACTCACTTTGAATTTGATGCCTGCAACATGTTCCAAAAAAGCTGGGAAAGTTGAGGAATCCTCAAAAAACACCTGTTTGGAACATTCCACAGGTGAACAGGTTAATTGGGAACAGGTGAGTGTCATAATTGGGTATGAAAGGAGCATCCCCGAAAGGCTCAGTCATTCACAAGCGAGGATGGGGCGAGGTTCACCTGCGTGAGAAAATAGCCCAACAGTTTAAGAACAATGTTCCTCAACGTACAATTCCAAGGAATTTAGGGATTTCATCATCTACGGTCGATAATATCATCAAAACATTCAGAGAATCGTCGCTACATCAACAAGTGCAAGTTAAAAGCGAAAGCCATATATCAACAACACCCAGAAACGCCGCCGGCTTCTCTGGGCCCGAGCTCATCTGAGATGGACTGACGCAAAGTGGAAAAGTGTGCTGTGGTCTGACGAGTCCACATTTAATAATAATACATTTCATTTGTAATGCACTTTATATTTAAGCAAATCCCAAAGTGCTAAATGATAAAACGGGTAAGTGCTAAAAATAAAAACACATAGAGAGCATGAAAATAAAAAAACAAAAACAATAAGGACAAGAGCAAAAGCTCTCCTAAAAAAGTGGGTTTTAAGGCCACGTTTAAAAGCATCCACAGTGTGTGGTGTCCTCAGGTGGTCAGGGAGAGCGTTCCACAGACTGGGAGCAGCTGAGCAGAAAGCCTCATCTCCCATTGTACGGAGCTTGGTCCTGGGAGGTTTCAGGAGATACGCTGAGGCAGATCGGAGGGCACGTGTGGAGGTCTGTGGGGTGATGAGTTCCTTGAGGTAGGGGGGAGGGGGCTTCAACATGGATGCACTGGTGGGTAAGGAGGGAGATGTGGAGTGCCGACTAAGATGGCTTCAGTCTTGGAGCTGTTTAGCTGCAGAAAGTTTTGCTTCATCCACGCATTTCAAATTGAAAAAAGGACCATCCGGATTGTTATCAGCGCAAAGTTAAAAAGCCAGCATCTGTGATGTTATGGGGGTGTGTTAGTGCCCATGGCATGGGTAACTTGCACATCTGTGAAAGCACCATTAATGCTGAAAGGTCCATACAGGTTTTGGAGCAACATATGCTGCCATCCAAGCAACGTCTTTTTCAGGGACGTCCCTGTTTATTTCAGCAAGACAATGCCAAGCCACATCCTGCACGTGTTACAACAGCGTGGCTTCGTAGTAGAAGAGTGCGGGTACTAGACTGACCTGCCTGCAGTCCAGACCTGTCTCCCATTGAAAATGTGTTGCGCATTATGAAGCGCAAAATACGAGACCCCGGACTGTTGAGCAAGTGAAGTTGTACATCAAGCAAGAATGGGAAAGAATTCCAGCTACAAAGCTTCAACAAACGCTTACTGAGTGTTGTTAAAAGGAAAGGTGATGGAACACAGAGGTAAACAGGCCCCTGTCCCAGCTTTTTTGGAACATGTTGCAGGCATCAAATTCAAAGCGAGTGAATATTTGCAAAAAACAATAAAGTTTATCCGTTTGAACATTAAATATCTTGTCTTTGTGGTGTATTCAATTCAACATAGGTTGAAAAGGATTTGCAAATCATTGTATTCTGTTTGTATTTATGTCTTACACAAGGTCCCAACTTCATTGGAATTGGGGTCGTATTTCTGTTGCTGTTTATTGCATAAAAGTACTAAAAGTAGCAAAATGTAAAAATGTATACCTTTCACACAAACACACAATAGTGACAACCAAATGCTTTTCATATGAACAGAAGAGGAAACCTAACAAGCAAAATACAGTAAAATATATTGTAACTTTTCTTGTTAATTGCTGATATATATAGAATTGATTGATTGATTTTGGGAGGTCCAGTGAGAACAACACGTGAAAACAAACCCTTAAAAAACAAATGTTGATGTGTTTGTCAGTGTTCGTTGTACATTTATTATTATTTTATCACCTGATATAAAATCTGTCCAAAATGACTGCTACAAAGAGGCAGCGATGGAAGAAGTATCCAGATCCTGTAAACGTAACAATACAAAAATGTAAGAATACTCATTGCAATCAAAAGTCTTGCATTTAAATCCTACTTTGAAACAGTACAGTTAGCTAGTTTTAACTACCTTATATACAGTTGGCTAGTTTGGTCCAGTGGTTCCCAACATAGGGCTTGGGCGCCTCCAAAGGGTCACCAGATAAATCTGAGGGGTCATGAGATGATTACTGGGAGAGTAAAGAAGAATAGTTTTACTTTTCTATAATCTTTGGGGCCTTTGAACAGTTTATATATTTTATGAAGTTTACAGAGGAAATGTATGTCAAATGTTTATCTGCTAAGTAACTAAAGCATTCAAATAAATGTAGTGCAGTAAAATATGTACAGTATTTCCTCTAGAATAGCAGAACATGGTAAAATTCAAGTAAGGACTTGAGTAAATATACTGCGCACATGCACACACACGCACGCACACACACACACACACACACACACCTTTTAACCCGGTCGAGTTAACAGCAGACAGATTTTCTCACAGTGAAACTTTCCCACTTTTCTCCTCCAACATGTTTCCAATTAACACAAAAAAGTCCACAGCTTCATGTCTAATTGGTTTTGAAAGTGCGACCTCTTGTCCGTTTAATATTTTTTCCCCCGACAGGAAATTCCACCAAAAGCAAACCATTACAACCATTAAACACACACACACACACACACACAGTGATAAAGCCAAGGAACTTTACTGACACTTGACTAAAACTGTTATTGTTGATGTCCTATTTTCTCTATCATCTTCTTGTAGCTGTCACAGTTAATAAAATATAAATGCTATAATATAATATAATAATAATAATAAGAAAAAAAACAGACC